TCCCCATAGAGGCAGTGAATAAGGCTTCCTCAGTAGAGGCTGTGTCGTAGCAAGTCTCCTACCAGCATGTCAGTGGTTTGCGAAGAGTGAGTTTTCTCATTTCTCGGGATACCTATCCTCGAGTTTGTGAAATTTAACGAAAAGTAGTCTGGTTAATTGAAATGATGTAGTTGTGTGGAGTCGTCGACCGACACAGAACTATTATACCAGATTCGAAAGACGTCCAATTGTTTACCTACACAATGCAGTATTTACGTTTAATTTGCAGTGATGTAATGAAAGCAGACCGGGTTTTCCTAGTCCCTAAGGGAGTTGATTTTTCTGTTATGCCTTCGAAATAAGACCTCCACACTCTTCAATGCAACTTTGTTTCAATCCAGTGAGATTTTGGGCTCTCGGAATGTGTAGAGTATACTGTATTCCCTAGAACGTTTGAGTAATTTTCGCGGCACATGCGTAAAGAAATCTGTCATCCTGTTTTTGTTGTGGAATGATGTCGCGGCCTGCTCAGGGAACCGAAAGATCGCTATTCCGTTGGAAAGACAGGGTGGTGACATACTTGCGTTTCCCAAAAGTTAGGGCGAAACATCCAGTCAGGTCATCACAACATGCACAGTTACTGAGTCATCCTGTCGATGAAGCATTCACATGTCACTAATGACGTGTGCTGTGCAACAATTTCGGTCACTCACCATCGTTATACGGATATCTTCAACTGAGCGTTTGTCAGTGCCGGAGGCCTCCTAACAACTGAGTGCATTTTCTGATTCTATAGTTCAACAAGAATGATAAGCAGTCATTTTTGGAGAGAATTCAAGATGGAGGGGATTTCTCAGATACGGAGCTCGACTAAAAAGTGTAGCATATCGAATGGCTTTCGGGTTTATGTTGTGTCAGTGAAATTTAGTAATCGCTTCCGAGACGCCTACGCTTCAGGCCGTGCTTATTTTCAACAGTGAGCGGCGATTGTTCGACTTCAAGATATCCAACTGTAGACCCTCTATGGTAATCTTATCTTTATGGTGGAGCGCAATACAAGCCTCTTTTTTCTTTGGTAACCTAGCATTACCTTTCAGACGCCATACCTTCCTATGCTTCTTTGGTAGTGACGTACCGAAATGACACTACAACCGAGCCTGATCTGGTTCTCGTGACAAGTGGGGCTTGGGCGAAATTCCACTCGTCGTTTCGCTTGAACATCCATTTTTGTTGTCTGTCTCGAGTGAGTCCCTTGGAATAGGTCGTAGCGTTTACCTGATGTACCAACATTCCTGCACTTTATCGGGAGGAGGCGTACATAGATCGTTTTGGTTGCCTTCATCTCCAAAGTCGGGCTTCGCGTGGAGCTGGAACCGACATCGAATCGCTCCAAACAATGGAGTTAAGTCCAAGATCAGATGGCCAAACGTACTACCTACTTTGGAACTGTGAAAGTAAAATGGCTGCAACACCCTTTCAGGGCACTCGAAGGAAGAACGAGGGTTGAAGTACCTCTGGGTCGCCCGAGCCCAGACGGGAGCAGTTGGGAAACCGGGGGGATTAGACCATCTGAACAGTCAATTCGCTCCCTAACCACTAAGCGATATCGAGTCGCACTTCGAATGGGTTGTTAACGAAGGGGACCATCCGTTTCAAGTTCCTGTAAAATACCAATGTGCGTGGTTGAGGGGAAATCGATAGTTTTTTTCCTAAGATCATACCTCACTTTGACGTCTTACGACGTGCACAAGATTCTCGAGCTTCGGACAACCTAGCTGTTTTATCAGTCAGTTCTCTCGTGAACAGCATTGAATTGCACACCAAAAGCGACCGAATCGGTTGATAGCTATATGTGGTCTGGTCTATGGCTTTTCCGCTTAAGTGGCTACACGAAACAAAATAATTTAAACGCCTCGTTTTTTACCAAATGTTCTACTTCTTAATTGTATACAGGATATGTGTACTCATTGGAAGGACTGAGTAGACAGCGTGTGTATACTGATCAGTTTCATCCGACAAAGCTAGAAGGGAAGTCGAATGGTGACGAGTCCAATTTCCATCGATCGTTGAATTCCCACTTGTGCATCTTTGGGAGGTGCCTATACCTCCAGACACTCAACATTTGATTTCACATGTCTGAGAGTTATGCGATCCAATCAACAGACTTAAAGTTACAGTGAGGTTTAGATACCATAAACATGCGTCATCGAGAAGTGTTAATTTGCGTGCGAGACCCTGCTTCCTGATTAACGATCAGCTTGTTATTTTGATGGAGCTAGTAAGTCCATTAGGCTCGTGATGCAGTGTTACAGATTGCTTGCGAAAACTTTCCGACTAGATATATTATTGGTCGCTAAGTTTCTGCCAGATACATAAGTCATACAAATGCCTTCATACCTTGACTAGTCGGACCGTTCACTTCACCAACACACCGCTGTTAGGAGAGGCGTTCTGTCTATCGCAGCAGGTAAATATCTGATAGGCGCTTGTTCGATTCACTATGAAACAGTCGCTCTTTGAAACGCACAATCGCGTTGGGAGTTCGCTGAAGGAAGTTCCCTTTTTCTCGAACAGGTGGTTCGTAAATTTTATTTGCCTTGTAGCCCCACCTAATTTTATCTGTTATCGCAATCGGTGAATACCGTGAGAGTTGGTTTTGAAGCAACTCTATGTGATAAATGCCTGAAACGTCTGATTCAGGTAGGGGACTGGCATCTTCACCGTATATCACCTGCAATCGGGTACTAGCCCACCGACCCGGATACCGTTTTCTAAACTGGGTTGAATGGCGTCTCACTCGCCTTTCAGGCTGTTGGACATATTTTTGTAAAAATTGGTGTTCAAATGATATACACCTGATTTGTTATAGTGTCGAGATGAGTCCGTTTTTCAAGTGCATTTGTTGTTTGATGTGGTTGTCTTTGCCCTCAATTCGTCAAGTGTGTGTCAGAGTGCTCGGGCTGGCAGTTGCATAGACACATGTTTCCACTGGTATTTAGATGCGATCAGGATACATTTTTCCTCTGGTGCCTTGAACTTGGTCACCATAGTGATGCTCCGATGAACGCCTTCGAGTCATTACGCGTAACTGACTCTCCTCAAGCGTTGCTTTTTGCCATAAACAAGATATTCAACTGAGTCCCGCATCAACACCAACTTCCTCCACAAGTGACTTTAGTTCGTCAATCGTGATGGCTCAGTTACACGGGGAACTTCTCTTAAACACTACCGCAACATTACCGCTCCGACGTTCCCGTCAGACTCAAGAAATTCTCGTTAATACTGGCAGTTTTCGCGTGTGTATCAGCACAGCTACTAACCCGCCGCCACGCACTACTACGCTCCACAATAACGCACTGATGATGTCACCTTGATTGGTGATGAAACGTTTGTAATCAAATTGTCCAGCTCAGCGAACAAGCCAACGACCATGTACCAACCATCTTTGCTGCGTTATTCAGCACATATGCAGTGCTCTTCGCTTATGAGTAGTATCATTCGGGCACATCTTGCTTGTTTCTGACTCTACGGTCCTCATGAACTGAGGTTTCGGCTTAAGTCGAGGGCATAATCCAAAGAGGTTGTTGAAGTGTTGATGTACTAACTGCCCTGAGATTCCACGTGAGTTTTGCAGGCAAACGTAATCAGTAGGCGAATCAACTATCAGTATTCCAGAAGGATACTAACTGTTATAAGATTACTTTCGTTGAGTAAACTGTGTGTTTACTCTGTTATGGATCTGGAAAAAGATGTCTGCTTGTGCAGGTACCATCATCGTCGGAAACTGTGCTTTTACTCCATTGTCTCGCAATTGCATTGTTTGCTTCGCAATGTGCGTCATATCCTACATTGGCTGTCAACGCATGTGTTTGCAGCGCTTCGTGATCCTTTTCACGATTGCCACTGAGAGAAGTCACGGTAACTTTGCTTGAATAAGTGATACCAGTTGTTCTCAACCGCTTGTTTAGATGAGCAAAACTCGGTCTCTTCGACCTCATGTGGCGATTGCAATCGCAACTGTGTCTGTTAGGAAATGCAAACTGTAGAGCTTCCCGTTGGGTGTCTGGTTAATTATCTGCTTTTGGTATGGACAACGCACGGCTTGACAGAGATCACGGAGAGTTTGAGTGTTGTTGGTGTAGTATGCCTTCCAGGCTGGGATCCCCGTGACCCAGTCTGTGCTTGGCTGGAGACGTTGCAAGAAGTGGTAGCTAATCGATGTCAGTGGTGTTCGTGCTGTCACTGCTTCCAGATTGATTGGGCGATTGGAGGTGTAGGCACCTCAGAGTGTTTGACATAATCCAGCAGTAGGTCCCCTCCCTCACACACTCCTTTTTCTTTTCTTTTCAGTCTATGGCCTTTAATATAAATGTATATATATATATATATATATATACCATAACGTTCGTCTATATATATAACGTTAGTGAAATGCTTTGAACGAAAACCACTCTCAAGATAGACGTACAACTGTTCCCGAAGTGATATCTCTTTGTACAGATTCCCGAATATGGTTATCCTGAATGACAGTCGCCACAAAATAATGAAGGGTGCTGACCCACCTGATCCGAGGCAGATATCTTGAAAAAGAGGACATCCTCCTGAGGAGTGCGTCCCTCGTGAACCACGCATTGGTTTTTATCTTCCTTTGAAGAAGTGACAAAAACCGACCCCCTCCCCGGCGTTCTCCATAAGGGAAATTGCGTGAGCTCTGTTCTTGATTTAAAAATACTGTGGACTAATTCTCAGCACCGCTTTCTTTTGGCACTTCCGGCCTCATTCACATTACTTCATGAGTAACGTTTGATTCCTAGCGCTTATATTGCCTTTTTCGTGTCCGCTGAGATCCTGGCTTTGTAAGTCCGTTTCTAGAGAGTATTGCTCATTCACAGAGTTTCTTTCATTCTAATCGCTCGCAACATCGGTCGACTGAGAGCGAACAGCTTAACCTGTGCATCCCTAACCCTTTGTGCGATTCTACTCTATTTGAATACTACTTAGCATCTTGTTTCTACTTACAGAAATCTACAAACTTGTGATTGCCAACCCATCTAGCGGCATGAACACACTTCCCATCAAACCTATCCCAGGTCCTTCGGTTGAAGATCAGCCTACAAAGAGAAGTTGCTGCTGAAGCGGCTACTACTCCATCTGATTCAGCCATTTTTCCATCCCAGAAGACCTGACTGAATACTCCAAACAACAGTGCTTCTCCGTTCATCCCGGCAACTGTACACACATACTTTATGAACTTCGGTTTCTTTTTTTTACAACAGAGCAATTTTATATGTCCTGTTTACCTGACCTTGTTCCCGTCTGATTGAACTGCTCTGCTCTGCTCTGCTCTGCCTTCGTCCCACCTTATCACTCTCCTGTGCTCTTGTAGGCTGTGACAGAACAAATGGGGAATTCAAACCTATCCTGGTGACTTGCTGTCTCTGTGTGCATCACAGTTTATTGGGGGCTGTCTGGGTGTTATTCACATCAACTCATGCCACCCCACCTGGCCTCCCTCATACACCTTTTATCCGTTTCGTTGCGTCCGAATGCGTTGAGTCGTGGCATGCACGGAGCAAAGACTCCCGCGGAATACTATCTTGTTCCTGTTATCCTTGTTACAGTGTTATGATTCTCCCACAGTCAGATGCTACAAACCAATGGGATTAAAAGATTACTCTGTTTGGGACACGTGCTTCTCATCCTGTATCCTTTTGATAGGCATCAATAGATGTTTTCATTATCGCCTTCACCTTGACTTTGAAGCATTGATTTTGCTTCATGAAACGGTGTGTTCGACTGACGTTTGTCCAATCCTATCAATAAGATCCACCAATGCGTTTAGTGGATTAACCTTCGGTCCACATCTGAGATAATCGAAGCGGAAGGGGAGGGGATTGTAAAATCAACGTGCGAATCGCTTGCTGTTTTCAGGCGAAGCAGATGTCCTAATGGTATTACCGAGGCTATCCTTAGATGGGAAGAGCACTGAACTCACAACGGAATTCGCTTCCTCAGCTCATCTCATCACCTTTCTCTATTTAGGTACCAACTATGTACCAATAGCGTGCTCTGTTTCAGGGGCGACGGCCTAACCGGCTGATTACTCTGGGGTTGTTCTGACTGAATGGAATGTAGGACAACTAGGCACTGAAGGCGATAGATTTGATACAGGAGGGGAAAGGCGTACGAAACTGGACCATGCTTGTCAGTGGTTAGTTGGCGAAGTTCCGTAGTTTCCGTTCAAGCGGACGGTTATTCTCAATCCCACCGAGCTAACTGGTCATGGCATTCATGTGTCGTTTTGCCAGGTTGTAGAACGTTAACACTAGGATGGGTGAAGAAAATCCATCATCATCGGCAACATGACATCAGTGTTCAACATCGATGTTTCAAAACCTTATTGTAAAGAAAAGAGTAGAGTGGACAGAGAAGGGATTTAGTGCTAGCTTACCACAGTCATTCCGAGGTACCTATACCTCCAGACACTTACTCAGGCGACCTGGATAGGAACTACCAAGAACACCACTGACATCGGTTTGCAGCCATATCTTGTAGTGTCTCCAACCAGGCACAATGAGGATCACGTGGTCCCAATCCTGCAAGGTGAGTAGCACGAACAGCAACCAAGCGAATCCGACAGGGTGGATAGTGTTTTGAATAACAGGGCAACCTTTCGACTGGCTTGTCTATTGCGGAAGAGCTTCTCCAGAAATAATTTGATTTATCCACTGGTTTCTATGTTTTTTTTTGACTCATATACGCAGATTTCCGGAAAAGGAAGTTTCCGATACTGATGCTTTGTATCAGTGTCGACTTCAGTCTGTAACGCGCATTAGCGTGACTGAATCTTTCAGTAAGCTCAAGGGCGCATCTTCCGACTAGAGTGGCTCAAAGCTGAGGTTTGTGGAATATTTAAGGAACCGCTCAGATGTAGCCCCCTTTCGGTGCCTAACTGCCATGCCACCAGGAGGAAGCACGAGGGCTGGGATACTGTGAGGTTGCCCAACCCTAGGCAGGGGTAGTCGAGACGCAGAGGTCGGGTTCGAACCACGTACCTTCCGGTCAGTAAATTCGTGGCCGAGCGGGCGAGATAGCTCAGTGGTTAGAGAGTGATATTACGGACTGGGAGGTCTGTGGTTCGAACCGGACCTCTTCATCTCAACTACTCTCGGGGCTTGGATAGCCTGGCAGTATCCCAGTCCTCATGCTTCCTTCAGATGGCCACGAAAGGGTGCTACAACTGAACGACGATTTCAAACTTCAATGAGTTTGTTGAATATGTGGAAATATTAACCTTTTGAGGAGAAATTGTGGCTACTAATGGTTTTTGAACCGACGTCCACGTATCGTCTTGTGAAATCTCTTGACTGCTGAGCTTAGGTTCAAGCCTTGTCTGTGTTGCTGCATTTGCAGTGACTGACGGAGTGTTTGGTGCATGACTGTTCGCCTACCGATGTAAAATAAACGCTTTGTTATCATAGTCAAAGGGTGATGATGTGTCAGCGGAATATCAGGAGCGCTGAAGTTAGAGTCTGTCGTATCAGTCTATCAGGCTGCCGGTAGTAAAACTGTTTGGCTTCTAAGGATTACAAGCTATTTATTGGTTATTTTATCTATGTACAATCACCCGGTGCAAGTCCTGTCTGGTACCTCATGACGGCCACAAAACCTTAATTTGGCTTGAGAGGAAATCCCACCTGTTTTTACAAGTTCTTACTGAAGATGACGAGTGGGGTTTCCGTCCAAGTGCATTTTGGGATCTCCTGGAGCATAGAATGATGGTAATATCCGTATGTGATGTGAAAAACAAAAAAACTACCTAGCATGGTGTCCATAATTTGTTTTCAAACCGCAAGTATGTATCTAACTCTGAAAGGAAGTCTGGTGTAACATCGGAACCCCCCGTGTGTGATGATCGTCAGAATGTCTTTACCCGAATCCTCCACTCCTACCTGGAGTTATGCCTTCCCCTGTAGGTCTGGCAAAGGGTCTGCGGTACATGGAGAAAATATTGGCAAATTTTCAGAGGTATGTTCACACTGGTGAAGGAACCGTCGCGAAGTCGTTGATTTTTTAAACGTCTACAGTAGCTCAGTTTTTCGAAGACCCCATTGTTTTTCAAGCAGTTTAATTGTAGAGCATAGGGTTGAACGTTTGGGATGATGAGCCAACTTAGTGTGGTCATTTGTAAGAATATCGTCATAAATCTGTTGCACCAGCTGGGACTGACTACACAGAACTGACTTGGTCACAAACAAAGTTGGGTGGAACGTCCCAAAATTCAAGAATCTATATTCCTAGTCCTAATACATCTAATCGGTGGATACACAGCGGAATCATGAAAAGTAGAGCCAACTCATCAAGGAATGGAATCTACCCACCGAAGGTACTTCTGACCACTCGGATGGTTGAGACATTCATGTTGAGAAGTCGGTGATTTTAACAGCCAATGGCATATCATTCTGATATCTAGCTTTGCTACTTTTGGGCTCAAGAGTTACCGCCTCTATCGTTCAGCTGTAGCACCCTTTCGGTGCCTAGCTGCCATGCCACATGAAGGAAGCACGAGGGCTGGGATACTGCCAGGTCGCCCAAGCCTAGACAGGGGAAGTCGAGAGGCAGAGGTTGGGTTCGAACCCCGGACTTTCCGGTCAGTAAATTCACGCTCCAACCAGTTTGTCCATCCCGCCCACTTACCGCTTCTGCTTGTGGGCGATTTCACTCTTCGTGATGAACGCCACATTGAACGGGCATCTTACACAACAAGTGCTTGGCACGTATGCCTGCGGAAATTGCAGAATGGGATTCTCTCCACTGCCAGTGTGCAAGTGAGAACTGGTAAATCGACTAAAGGTAATACGATTGTTGCTAGACACGGGATTATATCTTACGACTCAATCGACTGACGCTATATCGTTGCGTGATCTCTGCGTATTGCCCGAATTTCAGCAGTGACATATGTTCTACTGTCAAACCCTGAATGGTGGAATATAGCATCGGTAAGAGGTGCGTGCGACCGACAGTATTTTTAAGAGATGTCAGCTTCGCCATGAAGTACAGGGCTTCGAACGGTCCACGTGATAGTCACTTCAGTTGGTAACGTTCATATTTCCCTGCTTCTCTCCACACACGTTACTTTAGCTACGATCATCTGCAGAGTAATTTGTAGACTGATGTGCGCTGTGCTGTGTGAGAACCATAGTTTCTTCACTTGTTCAACGAATTCTTTTTGCTGTTCAGTTCGCTTTCACCAGCTTTTGCATCCGTTACCGATGCTCCTCCCCAGTTCATTTGAAGCTTCATCCACTTTCTTTAATAAATTCCTGCTTAGATGTATTTTGAGACCGCATCACATGTCTGCAGGTAAACACTTGTGTGAGTGCACATTTTCCGGTGCAACTGATAATAAAGACACGTGATCAATAAAGGTCCATCCAGGTGGATTTATCTACGTCCATGCATTCAGGTGCAGGTGAGCTCACGCGTGACTACGTGAGCACATGTATGGATATGACTGTCTTCCAATCTGTCCAACTTAAAGTCAGTGGGATTTCTGTAGGCATGTAGTTGCCAAGCGCATACTTCACTCGGCGGAGATCCAATTATTCACAACCAAATAACAGCACGTGAGTTGTGTTCATCGGGTTCGCTTTTCCGCCCCGGTACTCTTCACATTTCGTGGTCGAAAGAATAGCGCCGTGTTTCGCACAGAAAAGTATCCCAAGTACGTTGAGAACCCAAATTATCAGACACACCGCAACAATAGAATACCCCAGACTAACAACAGTTTTGAGAGATCGAGGACAACATGTACCTCTGAGATGGACATCAGTTCGTGAACCAAAAAGTTAGCATCATCGTTGCAACTAGCAGTGAGAAAATAGCGAAGCAACATTCGTTGACGGCATACTCCTGCTTCTCATTTCGTACCCATCACGGAATGTAATCAAGTCTATCACCGTTGCCCAGCGCTTCCGAACAACGATCAGTTCAGGCCTGATTAGACACCGAATTAGGTACTCCCAAAGGCAGTTTTTTTTCAGGTGACGGAGGCATTTTCCGAGTTTCGTTGCACCCCAGTTGTGACGATGTTGTGTCTTGATGAACGGTAGTGCAACTCTGTATCGGTCCCTTGGCTTCCTGCTCCGCCCACTATGGTATATCAAAAGGCACGGTAGCTCTAGACAGACCGTTATGGAGACAAAGGAAAGTTATTACAACTGTATTTATAGGGTAACTGCACAATGTTCCACAAGGTCGTATTAGACTCTCTGTGAGGGGGCGAGAGGCGTCAAGTTAAAGATACTCGATCCGGATTGACTGGCATTCTGTCCAATCAGGGCGTGCCTTCGTTTGGTCCGTACCCTGCACGTGACACATCCGTCCAAATGGTGTGATGTTCGGTAATCAGGGACGGCTGGCCTCCGGACAGACGAGCACGTTAAGCATCATGTGGGGTCCAGTAGGACCTCATACTGTTCACCAGACTCTCCGGCTGATTACGCTTTCTAAGACAAGATTCTCTGGTCAACTTGACTAGTGGGGCTGCCCTAACTCTGATGGTCGGCAGGTTGCACAGGATCTGGATACCGCGAATGAATACCAGAGGAAGACGTAAGCCGTCAATTCGAAAGAGGTAAGGTGGCTAACTCTTGCAAGCCGTAACGCGGTTATGCAGTCTATCGCCCCAAACAGCCACGATGCATTCATTGGTTGTCGCATATACACCGTTGACCTGGATAGG